TGGTGAAATTCTTTATTTTCTGGTTTGCAGACAAGAGGCCGTCTGGCTGATTGGAACTAAATTGATCTCAGGAATGGAGTGGGATCACTTGCACATGCACACAAATTGGAGTGCATTCTACAAATATACAGACAGACAGACAAGGAAAGCAGATGCACCTGTACAAGGATGCAAATAAACCTTTTATTCTGGATGTTCAAAGCCAGAGTCAGAAACTTTCATTTTCCTGATTTCCCTACTTCCTCAAGTGGCACACCTTTCTTTGAGCTCTTATTCTGAACATTTGTGCTTACTAGTCTTCTCAGGAAAGCTCTTCCTACTCTATTTCAGATTTGTATCCATGTCCTATCAAAAAACTCGGTCCCCAAAATGTAAAATGACAGAGCTGACCTGGTGGCACGACTGGCAAAGTTGAGTTCGTCGCATCACAGCCATGAATACAAATCCACGAGTGCAAAATGAGAATGGGATGAGATTAATGAGACGCTCAGAGCACTTCTGTCCTCCTGCAGCGTCTTCAAAGTAATTAACAAAGGCTTGGCTCTGACCTTACAGGTGCCATTTTCAGTGGTCATTACCTTAATTGAAATTTAAGAGATGATGCCGTGGGTGGGTGAGGCTCGGGAGGGGAGGAGGGAAAAGTCAAGGTTAAAAAAAGGATTAACTCATCGGATAAAAAGACAGTGGGGTCTTTCAGCCCCACAATGACTGAGCCTTTGTGCCCTTAATGACTCAGTGTTTGTGCAGCTTATGGTCCTAAACTCCAACCTCAGGGAGCCCTGATTACAGGTCTCAGTGAACTGTGGATGTGCCTCTGTGTGTTCATGTACTCTGTTTGTTTACTGATGGTGTTTAAATTACTTTACAGTCTCTGTAGCGTGGACCGCTTAATGAAGTCTACTGCAGCTGTTGTGTGGTAACAAGTTATCACACCTAATTATTACACACTTAAAACCCTTGATGAATGTGCCTGCTGCAGTTAAAGATGCAAGATGCAACTTGTGGGGGAAGGTAGAGCATCCAGTCTAACCTGTGAGGGTGGCATCTAGCTTAAACTTCTTACATGTCCTCTTTCTGACATCTCTTAACAAACTCTCAACTACATTTTTCTATTTTTCCTCTACAACATGAGGCAGGAGGGGAGGTAGGGCATTCAGTCTAACCTATGGGGATTGGCATCTAACTTAAACTTCTTACTATACCATCCTTTACTTTTTCTGACATCTCTAAAAAAAAAACTCTCCTCTCAAATTTTTCCACTTTTTCTTCTACAACATTAGGCAGGAGGGAAGGTAGAGCGTCCAGTCTAACCTGCAGAGGATGGCATCAAGCTTAAATTTCCTACTCCAGCTAAACCATCACTGTCCTCTTTGTAATATTTCCATACACACTTTTCTATATTTCCTCTTTTTCCTTTAAAACATGAAGCAGGAGGGGAGGTAGAGCGTGCAGCCAAACTCTGCAGCAGTGAGCCTTAGCTAACAGTATTTTCTAGCCCTAGATTTGACCTTTTTTTAATGCAGTTCATTTTCCACAGTCATCTACAGGATGTACTCTTTGTATCCTCTCGATCTTCTGTCCTATCTTTTTTTATTTAAAAGACAGGGTGGAGGTAGAGTGTGCACGGAAACCTGGCAGGGATGACTTCTAACCAAAAAGACTGCAAGCCCTGGCTCTTGCTCTCCCTGTCCTCATCCAATCATCTCTCTGAACTGTTTTACATCTTTCTTCTTTGCTTGAGTAGCTGGGGAGGTAGAGCATACAGCCTTCACTCTTGTGACTTTTGCCTTTTTCTCTCTCCTTTTCTATCACCTTCCTTCAGACATTTCCCTCTGTTTCCTATCTTCTATCCTTTTATAAAATTAGGGGAAGGTAGAGCGTACACCTGGCAGTCAGTGTCTACATATTTCACTGAACACTTATCCTCTTAGGTTGATAATTCAAAGTTAGTTCTCTGTAACATCCCTTTAACTCTAGTACGTCACGTGTTATTTATTGGCCGTTATTGCCATTTTTTAATGCATACCTTCTTGTTGATTCATTGTGCGTTAAATCTCCACGGTTTACAATGAGACTCTCCCAAATTAAGATATCTGAACCACCCTTTAATAATACAATACAGTTACTGTCTAGAGTTTTTAGGTGTTCGTCTAGTTAAGTGAACTGTTTAATTTCCCAGAAGGAAGATTTAAAACTATTAAGTCATAAAATAAACCCTCTCCCATACTTAAGGAGCAGACTTTAATAAAGAGGAAATAATTCTTTAATGTCTGAATGTATTACCTCCCTCTGAGATCGTCTTTATTTGATGATTATTCACTTTAAAAATATTCAAATCAGTCTTGTATTTGTTGACACTGCAGTATCTCAAACCCTCACAATAGACGAACGGCTGACGTGACCTGCAGCGCTGCATTATGTAGCGCTAAACTCCTTGCAGCCATGACTGCAGCTGAGCAGATTAAACACCTGTTGAATCACAATGAAAACATCCCGGCGTGAGCAGCACATGACATCGTGTTGCGCTCTGCACCATCACCTCCGTTTGCTCTTATCTGCTCCTCTTTGATTTAAAAATAGCCGTGTTTGTGCATTTGGCAAAAAGTATGAATTGCAAATCGTCGCCGAGCTCGTGTTGGAGACGCTGAAGTGAAGCGACGTGTGCAGGCCGGGCGAGTTTCTGCTGCAGAGAGGGAGAGAGAGAGGGAGGCAGGTCAATACAGACCAGCTGGAATTATGTATGTTTTATACTGGCATCCACAGCAGGGAAGAGAGGGAGGAGGAGGAGGAGGAGGAGAACATGAAAGAAGGAGGGGAACAGAGTTAAAATCTGGAGGAAGAGTGAAAGAGTTTGAACTGGATATGAGGTAGGAAGGTAAGGACAGAGAGGGGAAAAGGGTGTACTGGGTAGGACACAAGGGAAGATTCAAGAAGGAAAGGATAAAAGGGGATGATAGAAGAAGGGATGCAAAAAAGAGGACAGCAGGGAATGAAGAAGGATGGTAGAGGGTAAAGAAAAACAAATATAAAAGAAGGAAAGAAGAAGGTTGTAAAAAAAGATGACTGAAGGAATGTGAAAAAGGAGGTAAGGGAGGAAAGGATGGAGGAAGAAAAGAAGGAAAGAAAACAAGGAAAAATATTTGGAAAAGGAAAGAAGCAGAGGAGAAAAAAGGAAAACAAGAAAAAAAGAAAGGATAGAAGAAATTTTATAAGAGAGGAAAGAGAGCAGCAAGGAACAAATGAATAAGATAAGAGATAAAAAGTACGAAAAGAGAGGAAAAAACTAAGGGAAAAGGAAAGGATGAAAAAATGGGAAAGGTAGAAAGATGAGAAAGAGAAAGGTGATGAGAAAAAGGAAAGAAAGGAAATAAGGAAAGAGAGGAGTAAGGAAAGCGGAAAGGAAGAGAGAAAGAAAAGGAAAAAGAGAAGAAAGGAGGAAAGAAAGAAAGGGATAAGAAGAAAGAAAGAAAGAAAGAAAGAAAGAAAGAAAGAAAGAAAGAAAGAAAGAAAGAAAGAAAGAAAGAAAGAAAGAAAGAAAGAAAGAAAGAAAGGAGGAAAAGAAAGAAAGAAAGAAAGGGGTAAGAAGAAAAAAGAAAGAAAGAAAGAAAGAAAGAAAGAAAAGAAAAATGGGAAAGGAAGGAAGCAAGAAAGACAGCAAGGGGGAAGGAAGGAGAGATGTACAGAAAAAAGAGCAGAGAGGAAAGAAGGACAAAAAAGTAGAACAGGAGAAAGGAATAAGAAAGGGAAAGGAAAGACGAAAGGGTAAAAGAGAGAGAATGGGAAATTAAAGGGAAAAGATGAGGTGAGAAAGAGGAAGATTAGAAATAAAAGAAAAGGATGACGGATGAAGGACTGAAAGGGGGGACGAAGAAAAAAGGAGTGAAGAATATAAGAAAGGAAGTGGAGCTGTGATGGAATAAAAAAGGAAGGATAAAGTGTGTAGGAAAAGAAAGGAAGAATTGGATGGCAGGAGGAAATACAAGAAGCCGGGAGAAGAGAAATGAGGTTGTGTGGATTAAGGAAGGAGGCGAGCAAAAGGAGACAAGGTGGAAAGAGGATGAAGAAAATGAAAGCTAGTGAGGAAAGGAAAGATGAAAGGAGGAGAGAGGTGCAGAGGATGAATGAACGAATGAATGAATGAATAAGAAGAAAAAAACAAAGAGACCCCGAGGGAGGGAAAACAGCTTTGCTATTTCAGCGTCTTTTATACAGTCGTGGCTTTTCCCTCATACATCCTCGGTGAGCTCGCTCTCTGCTGTGGGTTTTTTCCCCCTGCTCTCCGTCTTTCAGGTGCAGGAAAGAGACGAACGGCTCTTTGAAAAAGACTGATTCATCATTCAGCACCATTCATCGTCCTGCTGTCAGATTTGCCCAGGAGCCTGCCAGTCAGAAACCAGGCAGCCAATAAAGCACCTGGCAGTCTGCAGAAGTTGTGGGGGGGAGAGAAGGGGGGAGGGGATTTCAACTCTTCCTGCGTCTGAGGAAACAGGCAGCTGATCTGGAGGGTGTCGGGAGGGAGACTGATGAGACAGGTGAGCAGAAGGTCGAGTCAAACAGGAGCACCTGCCTCTGGGAAAAGACGCTTTCACGCTCCAGAAGCTGAAGTAACTGAACACCATCTCCCATCCAAGACTAGCGGATTCATAAATCTACATAGTCTTTGAAAAAAAAGGGAGAGAAATGCTTCGTACACTGAGAGAGCAGAGATGGAGAAGAAGTGGGTGGTAGAAGTATTTACGCTCAGCGGCATTGGCCGAATGTTCAAACTGTGTCTCCAAGAGTCGATTTACAGCCCTCGATTAAAGCGCAGAGCTCAACGGAGGAGGGGAGCCATCTGCTCGCCGCTCTCCAGCCCTCTCATGTTCACATGTGTCGGAGAAGGAGCCCATCAGAGGCCAGACGCTGCCAATCCCGGGCACAGACTGGGTCCTCCAGGCCCAGTGTTTGAATAGGAGCAGTTGGTGGTTCTCTGCAGGCTTTGGTTGTTTTCACGGGACAGGATGGACATGCTGTCGGTTAAATCCCGGGATAACGTAACAGTGTCCATTGATGAAGCTCAGAAATGTAAACAGAGTGGACTGAGGGTTGGGAATGCGCCCCCTCATCTGCTCCGTACTGATAAAGTATCCTTAAGCGATGTCTACCCGCCAAACCTCACAGTTGGAAATAGAAACAAAAATAACAATTTATTTCCACTCATCAAAATTAGTCTTCGCTTCGCCTTCGACCACTTAAAATTAGTCAGATTGTGCAACCAGATTACACAAACCATGACAAAAGCAAGAGTTATGCTGCGTTCAAGTTACAACGGAAGACGGAGGTGGAAGTCGAAAAACTAAGATGGACGCCTACTGTTAGCCATTGTTAGCCATTGTCAGTTGTTGTTAGCGGTTGTCAGTTGTTGTTAGCTATACCAGTTGTAAACGACGCACAGCACAGTACTTTACTCTTACAAACTCCATAGCACCGTGTTCACAGTTAGACGTTGGGCAGTGCAACATATATGACTTATTTAGTTAAAAAAAACTAAACAGAAGTGCTAATAAATAAAACATTACGAGAGCTTTCACTGTCACTCTTTACTGTTGACTTTAGTATGAGTCAGAAATCCGACTTCAGGGGGATGTTTCAGATGAATTTCCGACTCGGAGCAGGGCTCGACAGTGCGACCGTTTCACGCAAATTTGCGACTAAAAATAATTGTGTGTGCCAAATGTTTTTTCATTTAAATACCGCGACGAAATTAGTTTTAGGTTTGATATTCGAGAGACATGCACCGCTGATCTACCGGTGTCTTCTCACTCTCCATAACCGGGAATAGGAGCAGCAGCGCGGTTAAATCTACTCGACATCTTCGCTGTCAACGTTGGGTGGTCCTCTAAGAGTTTTTCTGTTAACCTTTTCTTTAACAGCTTCCAACACATGTGACCAATTGACCCAAAATTGATTTCAAATAAAAGTACTTAAGTTGAGTGAAAAGAAACACATTTGATGAATTTTTATCGTGCCCCTAAAGTTCTTTGTGTGCTCCTTCTGAAAAAAGTTAGTCACCCATCAGCATGCTTATTCAGCTAATCTCCCACTATGAGGTACAAGTGTATAAGGGAGTACATATCAGGTCTTGAAGTTCATGTGTGAAAGAGGCTCAACAGACGTGCTCAATATTGTTTTGAAGGGCCTGCAAGAGGATGAAGATCAAATCTGCGGACCCTGCATGGTTGCAGATATCCCTGGCTAGTGCTGGACGATAATTCGATAACAATATATATCGATCGATAGACGTGTGGTGCGATAGAAAAAAAACGGGTCGATAAAAAGTTCGATAGAAAAACACAGTTTCCCTTTCTTTTTCATCATAGCCTATCATGTAGCTTTTACTACAGTCATTACTTCCTCCCAACCAATCACAAACGCAGACCCAGGTACGCTACGGCACCAAGCCCAGCCCCTCTCAAACAACAACAGACAGCACGTGTATTAGAAAAAATGATACAGCAAGGAGAAGCGGAGGACATTGTCCCGAAAAAAGGTTTCAGTAGTTCACCAGCATGGCAATGTTTTGGTTTTTAGAAGTCTGACAAAAAGCGAACAGCGGTCGTTTGCAAAATTTGCAGAGAATTAGTAAAAACGAAGTCTGGTAACACAACCAACTTGTTTTACCATCTAAACCGATCGCACCCGCAGGAGTACGAGCTGTGTCGGCCGCGCCGCGGCTCCACGTCATCGTCGGAGGAATCCTCTGGAACCGCTGCCAGCACCAGCACGAAGCATGTGAAGCAGACCAAACTGGACTTCGTTTCTTGCCAAAATACGACAAAGCGTCCGAGTGGCATAAGGACATCACCCATGCAGTAACATGCTCCATAGCGAGGGACATACTGCCAATAACTACCGTTGAAAAGCCTGGCTTCGACCAGCTTCTAGCCACTCTCGACCCGCGATATGAAGTGTCCGGCCGCAAGTATTTCTCAAACACAGCGCTTCAGGCATGAAAATGGGTCAGGGGTTGAAAAGGTGAGAAGGGTGCGGAGGAAATACGTTCCGGTGTAGCTTCTTAAAGTGGAAGAAAATGAGCTCATATTTTACAAAGACGCGAGTATTTGGATCATGGCTACTAGCAGGGGGTGCATTCGGCAGGGGTGCATTCTACGACACAACACCGGCGCGGATAAGTCCTGCTTCTCGCGCTTAGTTTGTGTATTAAGTCAATCACATGATAATAAAAAAAAAAATAAATCTCCCGACCCCGGGAGAAATATTTCAGTGTTCAGACACCAGGCTGTGGGCAGTTTCCCACACAGTTAAACCTGGTAGTATGCTATTCCCACCTAAAGCTATTCTGTTTATTTATATATTTGTTTATTTTCATCAAAAGACTATTTAAATATTTATTTATCAGATTTTCTGGTCACTTTAGTCTTTATGTTTGTCAGTATTTACTGACGTCACTCAGGCCACTTAAGTTAATTCCTTTTTTTTTTAGTTCTTTTTTAAAAAACTTTCAGTTGTGGTAAAATAAAAAAGGTGGTTGAATAAAGGTTTGAATTTGAATTCAGTGCTTGTGTGTTCTTTATTAAAAGTAGGTCATTAAGCAATAGCATATAACATCCAGGGCTGCAATTAAAATATATGTTAAGTAATTATAACAATTATATCGATAATTATCGATATCGATCAATATGATTTATTTTTTATCGATATGCTTTTTTTCTATATCGTCCAGGCCTATCCCTGGCTGAATGTTGGTACCAGACAAAACCCCAAACTAGATCCCCCCTTCAATCATCAGGACTGCTGTTTGCTTACAATGACAGATGAGAGAGACTCCGCCTCAGGACATGGTTTTGCAGAAATTAAGATGCAAACTGTTTACAGTCTCTCGGTTTTTCAAATGGATGTAGTGATTCTCCGCAGTAAGTACCCTTCTTGGGACTTTGGAGCAGCTGTGAAGCTGGATGCACTTCCCTACCCTGACAGCCTCCACCGGCTGGAGGGTTAAAGCCCCACGTTTCCCTGGAGGCTGCAGCAAAACCACCGACCACATCCTTGAAGATTTTCCAACCGCCGTGTCGGCAGCCGGCTGGCTCGCCATCCCGGCTGAACCAGATGGTAAAGGTGACAAAAAGCGCCAGAGGGGATTATGCAATGTGGGTTTGTCTTTGTGTGTGAGGGAGCGGATTAAGGCATATTTCTACAATGTGTTTTGTGTTTGCTTCTGTCTGTGACACCTGCTTTACCCACAAACCGTAAAAACTCCTTCTCTTCCTGACCCATCTGTCTACCTCTGATGAGGGAGATTTAATTAAGTCACACAGGCTCATACTGTAAGTAACGCCTACATAAAGGAAGTCATTTGGAAGGATGTTGCATTTGCATACAAACAAGCAGGATAGAGCCTCAGCGTTCCTCAGCAGACGGACTGGAAAATTAAGATCAGACACTTTCTCTTCGGCTGTGATCTGCTGCTAAATAAAGCTAATCGACCTGCCACTACGACAGCGCATCACAGCATCTATCATCTCCCTGATCTAGTCTGATAAACATGTCAGTGAAGGAAATTATTTTTACAAAATCTGCACCGACTTTCACTGAGTGTTTAAGGTCTTAGTGGTGCACAACGAAAGTAAGAAGATTCAAAATAATGTGTGCAGGTTTAAGCAGATGATGATTCAGGGTCTGACTGTGTGTGAGCAAAACATGCCATTCCATCTATTTTCAGCGGTTTTAACTCATTTAGTGCCATTGATGGATTTGGACGGATTTATCCGTTTTTTTGTTTTCCACCAGAACATGCGATTAAGTTTGGGGTCGTTCTGAACGCAGAGAAGCCGACAAATACATCATAACCATGTTACAATAACAAAAACAAGTTTGCCAATTAGCCGAGCTGTGGAGTGTTTTTTCTCTATGAGGACAGTAGGAAGATGCCGAAGTCATTAGCCAAGAGCTAAGGGTGTCATTGCATCGGTTCCCGTGGGCATGGTGCTATGGTCTCTGGATCCAGTAGAGATCCCTGTACCGGACCTTCACATCGTCAACAGACAATCAAAAAACAATTTTCTGGCGTGTAGTTGTGTCGCCGTTGCCGATACTCGTGAGCGAGACTGACCGGCAATTTCCACCGCATCTAGAATGGCAACGAAAAGGCCGTATCTGCCAATCGTAGCTGATCGTAACCATTTAAGTAAATGTGTCGATTTTCCACCGGCTTCGTTCCGTTTCGCTGCGGATCGCCAGACTCTGCCGCTGATCACAAGAGTTCTATTTTTTCCATGAGCTGGAATTCAGTGACCGTCCCAGTGAGGAAGACGCGAGCAGTCCCTGTGGTTTATGTCGCGGCATCAGGTTCTTGAGAGCCAATACGACACAAAGTGACCTGTCACAACTGAATCTCAAGAGTGATGAGGAGTGGTATCTGAGGAGGGAGGACCTTGATGCCACCAGTAAAATAGTTTGAAGCGAAATGAAATGGACAATCAGAGTTCTGCTCGAAAGTCTTAACTTTGTAAAATTGCGTTTTTCCAGATTGGCAAAGATGATATGACCACGCTGCATTGAGCACGGAGTAACTTAACACAGGATCGGGTTGGAGACAATTAATTGAGACTTAATTCTAGTCCAAGCACAAGATATTCTGTGGGTCCTGAAAGAAACGGAAATTTCTACTGCAGTCAATGGTGGCCAACTGGGTGAAAACTGCATGAATGAACCTGGCACTGAATGAGTTAATATGATGTCTTCTAAGATTGTTCAGGGCCGCGTCTGTCTCAAACTGGGTCTACTGCTTACTCAGTTTGTTTCTACATGGAATTAAAAATCGAACAGATACGTGAAGATCCAGATCTGACGTCCTCCCTTAGAGACGCTGCCAGTTACAAATGAAACTGCATGAAAACACTGCAAAGCTGCGAGAGGCGGACCGTGTTTGTTTTGGTACAGGAACACATGACAGTTGGCAGGCTTGTTCCCGTCTACCGCAGACACGCTCACATTTTATTTTGGTTGTCCGCGCGCTGTTTACTCAGTCGGTTGTGAACACAGAACAAATGAGTTAATTAAAAGTGGAAACAGGTTGATAAAGCGGGATTAATGTTGAAAAGATGCAGATTTCTTTGGCAGTCAGTTGAGACACCTGTTTCAGTCACAAAGAAGCAATGAAGAAGAATCAGGCGCAGACATTTGGGTCCTGATCCAAATCATGGACAGGCGATTAAAATAATGTCATTTCATTTCGAGGAATTTTGTTCGCAGCTGTGTGTGTTTCTAAGTCAGGCCCTGATTGGTTAATCTTCATGTATGTGGCGGATACACGTTTTGCAGTTTGGATACCAAGGGGGTCGAAGTCATGAGCTCAAAATACAGAATTCGCGCGCAGTAAGAGCTTCCGGCCCTTTCGTGAGCATACATGGAGCGGCAGCAAGACTCGGGTTCCGAGCAGACTTATGTGACTGTACAGATCTAACACTAGGCTCAGTTTACTGTTTAATTACTGTCTTTTAATCTGTGTAAGTATTTCAGTTAAAAACTATAAACTATTTACTTAAAAAGAGAGAACTTTTAAGGCCAAAAGTTTTTGAAGTTTTTCAGTTTTGGGGCTAAATTTGCCTTTCAGTGCAATCTGTGACTTCACTCATGACTGCACTCCTTTTTTACTTGTTTTTTACCTCAACGAACATTTTCCTTATTTGTTTTTTTGCCTTGATCAATAGTTTGGATTCTCCTTCCATACATAATTCTGCAAAGTATTGTCAATTTGGTGCAGATTAAGGTAAAATCAAAGTTAATGAAGTGTACTACTACCACAGCTAGACGTCCAATCCAGTTAAAATGATGACAAAAGAGAGATGGCATTGTTTGAAAAGGGATCAATCGAGCTACAACTACTATCTTCAGTTTTGCATCGAACATTAGAAATTCAAAGGAGCTAATAATGCAGCATAGGGAGTGAAATTTCTCCTTTTAACCAAGTCTTCAAGATTGTATAGAAGTAGGAGATGATGCACAAAAAGAGAAAGAGAAACAGTTCCACACCTGACGATTCAATATCTACTTTTAATAATTTACTTGCTGGGACGAGCACCAGATTTTTAGGACTGTAATCAAATAAAGAAATTCTTGATTTACTAAAACCCTTAAAATTTCGACCAAAAATCGACATATCGGGGGGATTTTCCAACTCGGACAGAAACCCTTCTTTGGCAGGGATGACGAGGCTCAGCGGGGTGAAAATATACTGGTATCAGGCAATATAAATAATATTAATACAAATATTATATTACAAATACTAAAAATATTATATTAGGCAAACTATCGTACATTGATTAATGTGGACGCTCCGGTCTCCAGTGAGTTGGGCAAATCCAAAATGGTGAAAATAAGGGGGGTGTTCTGAGACAAGATGTTACCTGTGAAACAGGAATGCTCTAAAAATAACCCCATTAGCCCTTGGTACGTTCCTCCTGATGAAATTAACCAAAGACTGTAAATGGACGCAGGAAAAAATCAAGTCGACCAATCAGAATTTTGGTCGACTCAGCACGTATCGACAAGGACTTTACAGCCGTACAGATTTCTAGTTTTTACTCAGATATTAGCTTCGATAGTTTCCTTTATTTTCTTCAAAACTTTCCTTTTACTACTTAACTAGAGCAGTTTAAAGACACTTAATACAGAGACCTCTCCTTCCTGTGTCCGTGGAATATCTCTCACAGCCCACACTAAGAGTTCTCGTACAGGTATTTGCACAGCGCTTTGAAACAGAGGGAAAATCAATAAGCGGCAAGGTTACTCATTCTAGGTGAGGACAGAGGCCTGTGTGCGCCATCAGACCACAGCAAGAAGAAGTAAAATAAAGCAACACTCATTAATTCATGGACACGGAGTCCTACTGTAAGGCTGCGGAGCATCATTATCAACGCGTGTGTGTGTGTGTGTGTGTGTGTGTGTGTGTGTGTGTGTGTGTGTGTGTGTGTGTGTGTGTGTGTGTGTGTGTGTGTGTGTGTGAAAGCATGTTGGAGGTAACAGCTTTCCCGAATGGACTGCAGAAAACCTTGTTCACTTGTCCATCGATGTGTTGCCCAAGGCGGTGAGTGAGGTGTGAAGTGTAAATATGACAAGCGGAGTATGATGGAAGCAGAGAGCAAGAGTCAGAAAGTGAATTTAAAACGCGGCTGAAACAGACCCGAACTCCACCAGCAGGACAAAGAGATGTAGGAGGAGATAGAAAGAAACAAAAACAACTGAAAAAGTTGTATTTGCTGCATGCGCACACTCCGCCTCAGAGTGGGTTATCATCGCAGAGTCCTCCTGCATTATTTACGAGCCTGTCAAAAGACACGGCGAGAGGATAAGACAACGCCGAAAAACAGCTCGAGGTACTTCAATGCATTTGCAGAGTTAATCTGCACCGTGGACACGTTGCGCGGCGCCGACTGAGAGCGGCCACAGCTGATTGCACTGATATTGAGAATGATAGGCAAGCCGTGTATACAGGCTGACAGGTGCAGGTATGGAAACACAGTGGAGGCCCTGCTGAGCTGACTGAAGATTCAATTTTCCCTGGGCTGTTATTGACTGCAGACTGCAGCAGCATTAAAAGCAGATCAGATACTCGTCATTATAGAAGTTATTACTCCCTATTCCATTAGCGTCACTGAAACAATAACAACAGTCGCCATTTAAACCTTGTGTTTGTGGCTCTCTCATGCTAAACATGCATTCAGTAGCGCTTTAGCTTCGGCTCATTTTGCAGAGACAAGCGCATTCAATCTATCTTTTCATTTTCTTGCACGGTGTGTGAGGTATATCTACCTCGGCGCACCTCTGCAGCTCATTTGAGCGACCACGTCTTCTCTACGCCTGCAGATCAGCTCCTTGATCCCCCAAGTCTGCTGAAACTCCTGCAAACACTGCTGCTGCTGCTGCTGCTGCTTCTGTTCATACAGTAGAGCAGATAATCAGCCCCACAGCAGCTCATGCATTGAAAGTCGAATTGAATAGAGGCAGCCGCTGTTGTATCCATGCGAAGAGTAAAAGAAAATGTCTATTTGTTAATCCTGCTCCGGTATCAACCATGTGTAGAACATGTTAATTAATCTGCGTGCACTCTCAAGAGCTCCACCTTTAAAGCAGATGGTAAAGCAGACTTTGAGGAAGTGTTTTAGACGGTTTGAAATGATATTTATTTGACCTGTGAACTCTGTAACCCTGAACAGATGCACCTGCATGTTTTACTTTAATCTCAGTTCGATCAGGAGGTCCCACATTGTCACTTCCTCATTTGTTTCTCCTATGATGTTTTAATGCTTTTAAGTCTACTGGGTCAAAAATGAGTGAAAAGGACGGTCATTGCACCTTGTGACGAGAGGTAGTGTTCAACTTCAAATCTCAGTTAATGTTTTATGTTTTATTTTTTGTGTCTTATTTACTTTTTTTGAGCCACATTCACCTGAAAATGTCTTATTTCAAGATATCATACGCTCAAAATAAGAACTAAATTGCTTGGGAGGAGTAAAATATCCACGACAGTCTAACTGCAGACCTCCGCTGAGATAGGGTGACCATATTCTGAACCCCTAAAAAGAGGACATGACTACGTGGGGCAGAGTCACCTATACAATGGTTAATTTTGAGAGTTTTTCGGGTTGGACCTAGGGGTTTTTTTACGCGCTTCTAACTCAGTAAGTCTAACTCAAAACTTCCATGCAAAACCCCGGACATTTGAAGGATTTAATAAACTCCCCTGGAGAAAGCCGGACAAGCCCCAAAAAAGAGGACAGTATGGTCGGCATACACTAAGAGGACCCGAGGTCATGTTTTTTCTCACACACTCCAGTTTGTTTGAGGAGGTCATTCTGTTTTGTTTTTTGTCTTTATTGAACACATAAATACACAAAAAGTTCACGTCAACATCATATACATGAAATAAGTCCCAAGGAAAAAAAATATAGATCCACACGAGACACAAAATATCTACTTCCCAGTGTGTTGCTTTTCGTTTGAAAGGCTTTGAATCAACTTTGGACGTAAAAACAGAAAAGAACTCCCGATGTATTTGCTTTTATTTTGAAAGGTGTCAAACAACTTCTGGTCTGCACAGTGGAGGTCTGCAGCCAGACCCCTCTCAAAATATCTGATCTGACCATTGAATGAGAAGAATTAGACCCACAGGAAAAAGCAAAAGTAAAGAAACTGATCACAGTGACGGGATTAGTGAGATCAAACTGCTAACTGGACTGAATATATTCTGATTTTTTCGGCATGACTGGTCAGTATAGAGGTCAGAAAACCTCTGAACTTGCTTGATCTTGACTTCGTAGTCAAACTCGTCATGTCCTGGTCTCCAAATTGTGACCAGAACATAAAGAGTTTGAGTTTTTATTCACCGGTTTGCTCATAATCAGTCCATTCGAATCTAAATAAACCTGAAGGCATAAAAGCATAAAAGCCCAAACCTCTAATGTAGTTTGGACCAAAGCAAATAACTCCCAGTAATGACATTAAACTCATTACGATGTATCCTCTCTGTGCTGATTCAAGCTCAAACTACCATATAAGGAGAGTTTATGAAGATTTGATCTGACAGTGTTGTTGTCAGCCATGTTGGCACAGGAGATCCAGGTTGTTTGACATGAAAAGGCGTTTCGGTGTCGCTCCCAGGCAAAAATCTGCATATCAACCAAACACAACGGCACACGAATGCACAACGACTGATCTGTCAAAGTGAAGTTTATCCCAATTCATCACAGTAACCAAAGAGGGCAACATGTTTCATTAAACATTCAAAGGTCTGTCTGAACAAGAGCCAAAACTGTCAACAGCTTTGATATCACTGAGCAGCAGTGAGGGGGGGTCCACAGTGAGAGTGGGGCTGTTTGAAGTCAGATGATACTCTGGTTAGTTGTGGCTTAAACTCTCCCTGCAGCCTGTTATGTCGGGCCACCACTACATGTTTGAAGTTTAAACAGTTTTGTGAAGAAGTTGAGCTAACTCGTCCAGACGACTGGGAGAAAGTGAGTCTCTGAGGCAAGTCTGGTCAAATATCACCAGACATCATATTTCAGTCTGTGGGAAACTCAAACCCACACTTTCTTATAAGCATACTTTAAACCTTACCTGAGGTGGTGACTGTAGAACCTTCAACATAGTCTGCCTTATCACTTAGCTACACTTTGGCTCTACCTAAAATTTCAGACTTCAAAACCCCAATGGATCATGCCAACGTGGAGTCCAACACCATTTTTACAATGTGATAAATTAGGGTGATCATAGTCCTCTTTTACCCGGGCATCTCCTCTTTTGGGGGGGCTGTCCGGCCTTGTCCAGATTTGTCTGGGGTAGTTTCTCAAATCCTTCAAATGTCCCGGGTTTTGTATAGAAGTTCTGAGTTTGTGTCGCGTGGACTTCCTGAGTTAGAGGTGGGGATTCAGAATATGGTCACCCTGGATAAATAATGTGCTTTCTTGGGTGGTCTTGGCTATTGAAAGGTTGGGTTAAACCTTGGCTCTCTATATAGCCTTACCTAGTGTTAAACAAAGCATGAGTAAAATCATCCGTGCAAGTGAACTACATGTAAAGTCCATGCAAAGATGCGATTGGACGCGCATTCCACTCGCAAATGACGTAAATTCGTTGACTATTTGCTTAAGTTTTCATCACATCCAGAGTGCTACTCGCTTCAAACGCCTTATTCCCAATAGCTGAAAATAACTGAAGTGAATGTTTGCAATGTGATAACCAATCAGCATGGAGATTCCCCGGTGATGAATCAAGCTACGCGAGTAAATACACAACATTTGCATGTCCAGATAGGTGTGAATTAAGCAAGTAGCGGATTTTACTTGATCTTGGTAGGAACGCAACATTACACATAAATGTTACCTGGACAACTAGGGCTGATCTGGTCTTGGTACAGGGTTGAGATTAGCCACAAATAGGCAAACCAGACAATGTACATTTGAAATGAACCAGTATGACGCCCATGAGTGCCATTAGCAACAGTCCAGTAGCGTCTGGGTCCCAGTTGGGTCAGATTAAACCCTGATTTCAGCCAGTTTTTAGGTATCTGTACTTGACATGAAGACCAGTTTGAGGTTAATGGAACTTGACACCACTGATTTAGTAAGACCAGTACTGAAAATGGCTGAAAACTGAGGTCCAAAGTGTACAACGTAGAGTCTGTGCGTGACCAGTGTTGCACCTCCCGAGTTAGTCAAGGTGACGCAACAGTCCCGAGCTTCATCTGCAACGACAAATAGAGGAGTAAACAAACCCCAAACAATCATCAAATTCTGATTGGTCTCCTTTCTTTGAGCCACCGTAGAGAATGAGGAGTAAGCAACAGGGGAACAAAGTGCAAATTGTCTTAAGTCTAATACTGGCCCAGTCATTTTCAATAACAGTTGTTTAATTCCCCCTCGATCTGCCCCTGAAGAGAAGTCGCTCCCTTGTGAAACCGCCGTTCATTGATCTGCAGCGCTGCTCCACTAATTAGGCAAGCACTCTGAATTTGGGATGATTTGTGCCTGATGTTCACACCGCCACAAACTCTGGTGGGGACCGGTGCGAGGGCCGAGGCAATTAGCAATTTAACAAAACAAAGGTTTGGAGCCTTATCTGCACACATTGTTTTTGTGAAAGGGAACAAAACAGCAGCAGCAGCAACATTGGAGGGAGTGCGGTCCTCTTTCTAAAGTTTCTTTCCTGGGCTTACACTCAGAGGGTTGGATGGACTTCACTTTTCATGTCTGGCATTTGGCTCACATGAGTGTTACAGTGTTAGCTTCAACTCCAGCATCACCAGCATTATAAGCATCAGGAAGAGGGGCACCGGTAAAAGGTCATAGCCCCGGGAACATAATAACCCCGCTGCCATGCGATGATCGTTTAAGAGCGGAAAATAGTCCTCATTACATCTCAATTAAGAAACCTGAACAATTCAGAACAAATAGAGTAGAAGTAGCGTTTCTGTGCCAAGAACTAAAGTATAATTACAAAAATTATGTTCCTCCTGTTATAAATAAACAGCACTGCAAACTCTAAATGTGGGCCCAGTTCATCCACCGGTGAACTCTACTTTCTGCGCTATTATAATGTTTTGTTTAGGAGAAATACACAAAAAGAAAAGTAGTTAAAACCACAGCAGAATGACTGTCTGAGAGATCCTACATGAAGGCAGGTAGAGCATCAACTAAGACCCCTGTGACAAGACATATGCTGCGTTCCTGCTACCTCTGAAGTCGGAGCTGAGAATGACGTTACACCCAAGTTGACGGCGTTCCACTAAACAAGTCGAAAAACCAAGATGGACGCCTACAGTTAGCCATTGTTTGCTGTTGTTAACAACTATCAGCTGTTGTCAGCCATTGCCCGTTGTTGTTAGCAGTTGTCAGCTATTGTTAGCGGCTGTTAACTGTTGTTAGCCATTGTAAGCTGTTGTTAGCTGTTGTCAGCTGTTGTTAGTTGTTGTTCACTATACCAGATGTAAACAACACATAACACAGTATTTTACTCTTACAAACACCATAGCACCGTGTTCACAGTAAGACGTTTGGCAGTACAACATAAACCACTTATTTAATTTCACAAAAACAAAACAGGAATGCTGATTAATAAAACATCATGAGAACTTTCTCTGTTACTGTTTACTGTTGATGCTCTGTGCTGCCATCTTGGATTATGACGTTGTTGTCAAGTCGGGGTTGGTGAGGATCGTCCAACTTTCCGAGTCTGAAATCTGACTTCAGGGGGGTGTTCCAGATGAATTTCCAACTTGGAGTTTTGAGTAAATCGATTTCAATATGTTGCAGATTATGTATAAAGCTCATAGGAACATTTTACCAGTGTACATCCAGAGCCGATTTGAAAAAAGAGAAATATAATTTAAAAGGATTTGAAACATTTAAAAAGCCAAGATTCAGAACTAAACTGAAAGAGCGCTGTGTTACAGTGAGAGGAGTAAGTTTGTGGAACAATCTGAACAAAGAAACTAAAGAAGCTAAATCAAAGTTTATCTTCAAAAAAAGTGTCAAAGCCAGTATATTGATTAAATACAGGGGAATACGTTGATCTAAGTCTTAACGTGGTGTTTTCTGATCGTTTTGCGGGTTGTTTTTGAAGATGAGAAATATTGACCTGTAAAAAGGCATGTTGGCCTGCAGCTCTGGTTTATTTTATGTGTTTAGTTGATTAATATATTATGAAAGAGGGGCAGACTCGATAAGAGTTTTCTTCTTTCTGCTCCTTTTCATTCACATTCACGTTTGAGATTTTTCCTTCTTGGTATTGAATGTTTTAAATAATAACTGAATGAAATAAAGTATGAAAATTAAATTAAATGAAACTGGAACACGGCAATATGTTTATGGTAAATTTCCTTGATGGCAGCATGAGTAGGCGAGCTGATAGTTAAAACTGGACACCATCTTTGCTTGACAGTGTCTGAGCTCGACTTGTGGCCTGCCTGGACTTACTCTACGCTCAATTTTGATGGTTGAATTCGACTGTGCATCACTTTTAACCCATTGAAAATCAAAACACAGATCCACTTCTCAGAACCGGATAACTAAGCGGAGGCTGTTTTGCTTTTAATACCAGATAAAACGCATGAGTAACACTCCTGAGTCAGAAGTTCCCTGAAGCGATGCAGAAAACCTTCGCAGCTTGTTCGAAGAGGACTGAGCAGATCTGAACCTGGAGAGTCAGAGTCACCTTTGCAACACCACCCCTGGGCACACAAGTCTCCCAACACCTGAACAACCACTGACGGTGTCTTCAAACATATTTCAACTCTGTTCCACTCTGACCCGAGGCTGGAAACACGGCTGATAAATTCTCCTGCATGCTCATTTTTAATTCAAATAGAGGGATAAAACTTGAATGCATGTCGTCCAAAACACAATTAAAAGCCTCGGCAAAATTCACGCTGCTTTAGTCAAATCTGAATCTTGGGATGATCGTGAGTCCGCTTACACACAAACCATTCACAAAGCACGACTATTTCCAAACCGAAATCCCATAAAGAGCCGTGGATTTTCTCTGAAATCAGTTGACAGCTGTTGTACAATAACAAATCTAAAATTAACAGTGCAACAAAGTAATTCAGCCTTATGTTGTCCACGAGGCAAAAACTGGACCAGTCTGAATGTTTTTATAATGAGGGAACATGATCTTTGCGTTCCAACCAGGACAAAAAACTGGAAGCACCCACGCCGCATATGTAACCGAATCATTTTCCCGCCAGTTACACAGCGACATACATCAAGGAGCCAGCAGCACGGCCATTTTTCACTTCATTGGGGAATGTTAAAGTAGAGGTCTGGACCGGCTGCAAGGACAAGAGCCAAGCAAATTACTCTGTCTCTGGCAATAAAGCGGTGTCGTCCTGTAGCGCGACCTTGCAGCTGGACGCAGCCAAACTCAGCCGAGGATTGAAGCCGACACAGATGAGTTGCTGCAGAACTCCTCGTCTCCAGTGTGGAGTCGGAAAAAAAAGGATGTTTTATATCCTTTCTGGCAGAATTATTTTTTAATCTATCAGTTATTAAATCCCAGAGCAAAGTCTCTCCCAGAGGCACAAATACCGTATTGGTTCAAACAGAAGATGACCCTGATTAGAGCGCCGACCCCCTTTGAGATTAATTTTAGTTAAAAAATCTCTTACTGAGGTTCGTATTTTCTTAAAAATGATGACAGGAACACATTGGAGATGTTTTGAACACATTTTAAACATAATTCCTGTTCTATTTGGTTGAAGGTCTTTCTCTTAAATTACCAGGAAATGTTTGTAAATTAAGCACTCGCATTCCTGCTGTGTACCGTCAATGCCGTAAAAAGAAAATGAATTGTGGTTTATTAGTTGTAAGGCCACTCAACCGTGTGCAACCTTCACGGTGATCTCTGAGGCTTTACAGCTCACACACTCGGTCTCTTGGAAGTGGATCTGAGAAGAATCACATCAGTCTTTGGACGTTTTACCTCAGATAATGTTTGATAGCCGCCCAATCATATTGATTACCATTATCTTCAAATTAGCAGTTTAACTCATGATCAAATCTACCATTGGTTATTGTTATTGGATTTGATGTTTAAGGGTTACTGTCACTTTAAGAAGGTTCAGAATGCTGTGGAGGACTTTGACCAGATTCAATACAAAAAAATTAAAAAACGAAAAAACGAGAGATGGGCCGTCTCCCAATGACCAGTAAGGAATCAGGAGCTGAAAAATGGAAAACAACCCATTGTACAATTTTTTGTCTTGATCATAAAAATCGGAAAATGAAAAATCAACTGAGTAATTGACTTTATTTGATGTGGCTTTAAATGGAAATCTAAGATAAAAACAGGTGTGTGGAAATCTTGTGTTTCAAGTTTATTCACTTTAGAGCGAGAACGTTGCCCTCGTCAAGATGGCTGCCACGTAGACATGTCGCTAAGTGAGCTGCTACTGCGCACTGGCATAACTAGTGTTCTATATATACAGTATATCTGTGCTAACAAGAGCCAAGGTCTCGCTCCAAGTCACAACTTACGACTCACAACAAAAAAGTGAATGAAACTTGAAATGCAAGATTTCCACACGTTTCTTGACCTTTGATTTCCATTTAAAGCCACATCACAGAAAGTCAAATACTGAGATGTTTTTTCATTCTCCGATTTTTACGACCAAAGCAGAAAAACGGATTGTTTTCAGTCTTTCCTCTCTCGATTCCCTACTGGTCGTCAGGAGACCGCTTGTCTCCTGATTTCTGTTTTTACATTACATTACATTACATTACATTTACATTTCCTCTCCATGTCTGTTCTCATTCTTGGGTTTTTTTTCCTGCATCATTTTCTATATTTGTACATCTATGACATCCTTGGAATAAATTTGGAATAAAATTGACACATTAACTTGAATGGTTACGATCAGCTACAATCGGCAGATTTGGCCTTTTCGTAGCTGTTCCGGATGCGTTAGTTAGTGTCCTTTATCCTGAGGTAAGCTGTTCAACATGCAGAAACCGCCGCCTTAAGGTCATCTCATAAAGAAAAAGATCTACCCTTCTTGCTCAAAGTCGTGTATTTTTATGGGATGTAACACATTATGAACAGTTCACCTTCGTACCAGGGTTATGCAGTCAGCCCAACTGATGGAAAAATTTTCAGAGTAGGAAAAAGAGAAACTTGATTTCTTTGGGGACATAGTTGTGTTGGAGTTTTCGCCCACGGGACTCGACGTAAACACCTGACCTCCACTGCTCTTCAGAAGTCCTCGTCCTTTACAGACTTTCAACACTTAACGTTGAACTCCTGAACAAATTTATGAGCCCATATCTTTGATGTGTACTTCTCCTCCGGTACCTTCCAGGGTTGTTTTTGCTAATAATTTCATCATGAGGTCGGCTTACAGGGACGTATTGATTATTTCATAAGTAATGGTTCTACTTCTGCTGCGGCTGGAAAAGTTTGGAGCAAAAATCAAGGAGGTCTCAAGTGGTTTGAAAGCTCGAGAATATATTAAAAGTTTCCCTGAGATGCTGCGTGAAGAGGAGATGTAGGACAGGAGGAAGGAGGCCACGGGGAAGATTTGATTGTGTTCGGCGAAAGAACTGAAAACAGGGAGGAAGGCGGGAGGAAATAGGATGTCATTTGCTCATTCGGAGCTGCGGAGACAGATAGAAAGATGGAGTCCTGCATTTGATACAGAGAGTAGAAATAGATGCAGGATACAGTGAGGGGTAAACAGGAGGCAAAAGGTGTGAGTGCAGAGGGAAAGAAATGATGAGGTGTTATTCAGACATGCAGAGCTGTAACAGAGACGAGATCGAGGGAACAGAGGAGTGAGGGATATATTGAGATGTAGAGGGACGGCATTTCGAGGTGGTTTCATTTCTGCAGGAGACAGTGGCGTTGAAAACCAGGGTCTGATTCACTGAGGGCTGCACAACTTTTGTGCCTGTTAGAGAAATTTTATCTATCTGCAGAGGGAAAACCCAAAAACTCGATCATTTTACTGCTCAGTAACCTAAAAGTAATATATTTACTCATTTAATCGATTAATATTTCTGTGATAGTCAATGCAGGCACTCATGATCCTCATCTAACATGACATGTACAGTAGGGTGAATCCCCAAAAAGAGGACACTTGTTAGGAGAATTCTCTTAAACTCAGTTACCATGGATACATTGGTGTTAGATTCCTGGAGTCGACCATCAACAACAAGAACCTTGTACACATTTTTGACATCACTCAGGTTCCTAAATTACGTTATGCTGTGGTGTTTCCCTATATGGGCTCTCCATATGTTCAACTAAGGCTCCTTAAAATATGTCGTCTTTGTTCTTACCCGACATGGACTCTCCTTCAGGTCAACTAAATGCCAGCAGAATGCTTGGAAATGCGGACGACTATATAAACTTAAACAGTCTCAGACCAATCTTTGTTACACTTGTGGCAGGATGAAGCTGTAACCCAGATCTGCGACCAGTAAAGTTAGTCAAACTGACCATTTGTGTGGACCTTACATTCTTTCAAGTGTGAACCTGGGTTAGGCATCCTTACAACACAACTACGCGGGGTGGAGTCGTGGAGTCGCACATAGTAACTTCCATACAAAACCCCAACATTTGAAGGATTTTATAAACTCCCCCTGGACAAGGATGGACAGCCCCCCAAAAAGAGGATCCCATATCCGTGTTCAGGTTCATCAGTCCTCCTAGTTAAGGTTGTTTAAGCGACGGTTTTAGCAGTTTTTTCAAACTAAGTTATAGCAATTGCGCCCTGTGATCTTTTCCAGTCAGCGTCTCCTTCTTACTCTCTTCTACTTCCTGTTTAGAACAGTTGCATCTGCGCTACCATTGGCTGGCAGCGCTCACGCGAGAATTAAACATGATTTGACAAAACTCAGCTATCATGGGATTTGATTTAAAGAGTTCAATTTAATTATAATAAATAATTTCAACAAAACATATTTTAACATATTTTCATCCTTTTTAAAGGGATATTCTGGCGTACAATTATGTTCTTCCTTGAGCTGCGTCCCCCTGCTGCAGTCGATGGACCCGCCCAGAGGTCTTTGTACAAACAAGTGGCTGCAGGAAGAGAGACGGTAAGTTGTGATTAGTTCTGTTGATGAAGTTAGGTGCTGTTCTGAGCATTATTTGTGGCTATAAGGTGGCGTTTTGGTTAAGAGTGTGGCTCTCTGTTTTGCTATCGTGCGGTCGTTACTAAAGTTGGTATAACTAGAGAAGCAAGCGGTCGGCAACATTCATCTCTCGACGGGGTGTCTAACGGTTACGATTTGTTTGACTCTAACTTAATTTCATGTCGGCGTATCCCTTTAAGTCTTATTTTCTTGAAGATAATAATCTGGTAATTTTCTGTGACCTGGGTTACACATGTCCTGGTAAAATAGGAAGTATGGTCACCCTTTTATACACCACCTGAGTGGAAATCTAAGTAAATGGCGCAACATGAATGTGGAGGCATTAGCACAGCCGAGATGCTAACAGCTCATCTCTACGATACGACACAACACAAGAGCAAACTGCACAGAGACACTGAACTTAACGTGTTTTCTCCTGGATATCATCAGGATAGAGTCAGACAGTGGAGAAAATAAAACAATATTCCTGGTGATACAAGCGGCGTCCACCTGTACTCTGTGAATTCATAACAGACTCGGGGTTTGTTGAAGCGGAGGAGCTCAGGTGGTTTTAAAATATTGAGTAATAAACAGCGAGTCCTGCTTCTGGGGAGGAAACTGGGCCAGCGTTTGTAGAAGTTAGAGAGCAGCCGGAGATAAAAGCTGCACTGCAGGTTAGAAGAAAGTTCACAACAAGCGGCCTTTACATTTATTTGATTATTCAGCTTTTTTTTTTTTTTGCTGAATTATCACCGATTTCTTTGCAGCTCGTGTAAAAAAGTTCTGGGGAAAAAACAAACTGTACAAGAAGCAGAGTTTCATCATTAATGGACCCGCTAAGACGGGAAGTAAAATCTAATAAAACAAATCTTAGACAGTGGTG